ACTCCAGCATCAGGGGATTGGACATCGTCTCCTGGCTTCTGCAGGCACCTGCACACAACACACACACAAATCTTGAAAGAATTGTACAGGCAAAATTGTAGGTGACTTTGGCTGGCAAGTGGGATGGACTGGTTGGTTCTGTCCACAGTGATCACATGATCTCCTAGGTAACAGTACATCAGATCCCAGAAGATGCCTACCACATGGGCATGGGTGTCACTGGTGGGTGTCCAGGCCTAGCAACTCTGCAGTTTTCCCATCAGTCTTCACATTACTTGGGACTGACACACGATGCCCCGAGCTAGAAGTTCCTGAGAATTACAGTGATGGGAATCTACTGCAGCTGGTGGCTGTCTCCCCGAGACATAGAATGAATGAGTAAAAACCAAAAGCCAGTTGTCCAAGACTGCATCACCGCCACATCCATGGACAGGTATTTGTCGCCCTACTACAGCACAGGATGGAGCAAAGAATCCTAGACCTTGGCTAAAGGACATGACAGGCAGGACCTATGAAGAGGTCAGAGAGCCAGTGCAGCACTTTAATGGAGAAAAGGGTGGGCCTCGACCCCAGATCTAGCTGTGCATAGAGCCAGATAGTCTTGAGTTTTTCAAATACAAAATCAGAGACACTTCCATTTTGCTGAGAGGTAGTTGAAGTTGGATGTCTGATACTTAAAACCAAGGGCCTTGCCTAATCTGCGATTAAAGATGTATTTGGTGGGTCTCCCCACCCCCGGTCATTCCTATAATAGATGTTTACTAAGCAATGTTCCCATTAATGTTGCCGAAGTGACCCCAAACTCAGAGGCTTTCTTCAACCTTTTATTCTATTCACAGATTCTGAGGGTCAGCACTAAATTAAGGTCTCTTCTGAACATCAGCTGAAGGCCTCACTAGAGCCAGACTAACTGCTCCTAACATGGTACCCTCTTATGGCTGACAAGCCACACTGGAGTGTTGGCTAGGGCCTCGGGCTCTGTCTGGGACACAAGGCTGTGTCCCCAGTGCCCATGAGGAAAGTGTGATGTCTTTAGGCCTAAGAAGTTACCATCATTCCACTGACCACAGGGGCCTGATTCTGTGAGAGTGGAGAACACATATGGCAGTGTGGATCATGGGGGGCCTATTCTGAGACTGGCTGCCTGTCTCAAATATCCACTACACCCAAAAGCTAGCAATGACCCTCGCCCTTGGGGAAGATGGCCTGCAGAAGGAACTGCCTCATTGCTACAAGATACCCAACAAGACCACTTCAGAAAAGGTTTATTTTGGCTCAGAGTTCCAGGGTTACAGTCCACCATGTGGGGAGGCATGGGACACAATCATGAGGTAGCTGGTCACATTGCATCCACAGTCAGGAAGCAGGTAAAAGCTAATGCCCAGCTCACTTTCTCTTACTTGGTTTGGGATTCTCAGCCCACTGGTCCTGCCCACATTAGGGTGGGTCTTCCCATTTCAATTAACCTAATCTAGAAAGTCTCTCACAGACTAGTCAGAGATTTGTTTCCATGGTGATTCTAAATCCCATTAAGGTGCCAATCAAGATCCTAACACTTTCTGTAACCAACTCAGGTTTATCTCCAGAACTTGCCCAACTGTTCTCTTGGGTTGCTCCAGTCCTTAGGGATGGAAGAGGACCTGGCTTCAGCCACCTGTGTGATCCACCTATCACTGTGCCCCGATGGCTGTGTGGCAGCTGGCACCCACACCTGCACCCAATACCCATTCTGTAGATAACCTGGCACATGTCTGTATTGTCTGCTCCATTGGCAGAGGCAAAACATAGTGGTTAAGAACTCTGGGGTCAGGCTGGAGAGATGGCTCAGCAGTTAAGAACACTGACTGTTCTTGCAGAAGACTGGGGTTCAAATCCCAGCACCCACATGGCAGCTAACAACTGTCCATAACTCCAGTTCCAGGGGATCCGCCAGCCTCTTCTGTCCTCTGTGGGCATTGCACGACAAGGGTGCACTTACCTACATGCAGGCAATACACGCATACACATAAAATAAAAATAATAAAATATTAAAAAAAGAACTCTGGGGTCTGGGTTCAGTTTGCTGTTGGTAACTACAAGGCTGAAGGAGGACCTGACCCATAGGCCAGCCTGCAGGACAATGACAAGCAGTACCTGTCACAGGAACTCAAGAAAGTCTGGTTATTCATGCTAGTTTCTTGGGGTTTTTTATTTGTTTAACCCAAGAAGGTGATAGTTCCTTTACTTTATTTCACAAATCTTCCTTCTCCACAATTAGGTCCTTGAGAGTTGGGTACAAAGATGGCCCCTTCCCGTGCCTTCTCATTGGCCCACCCATGCCATGTTACGTTCACCTGTGTGTGGCCTGCCTGTGAAACCCACCCACCACAGGGACTTAGCACAGCTTGCTAGTTGGACTAAAATCCAAACACAAAAGGCCACAAGACTGAAGTACTTCTTTGGAAGGGCTCTGTCCTTAAGGTTCCTGCCCTAAAGCTTTTGGGGGTGTCTGTGTTCTGTATTTTAGGGTTGTTCTTATGCTTTCTTCTTGAGAAGGGTCTCATGTAGCCCAGGTTTGCCTGAAACTCATTGCCTAGTCGAGGATGACCTTGAACTTCTGATCTTCCTGCCTCCACAACAGCACCACAGTTTTTTTTTTTAATGCAGTGTTGGAGATTGAACACACGGACCTCCTGCATATCAGGCATGCACTCTACCAACTGCTGAGTCTGCAGCTCTTCATTCCCTTTAATAGGCACAATTTAGTAAGTGGCAGCATTCCCCCAAGAACCTGTCACCTAACACAGTTCCAGTGCCTTAGAATGAACATGTCATAGAACTTTTTTTCCCTCTTTTTTTGTTTTTGAGACAGGGTCTCTCCCTGGCCTCAGCTGGCCTGGAACTCAATATGTAAACTAGGCTGGCTTTGATCTCAGAGATCCACTTGCCTCTGCCTCCAGAGTGCTGGGATTTTAAAGGCGTGTGCCACCATGCTCAGCGGAACTTTTGTCAAATCTGCAATCTACCAACAACATGAAAGTTTACTTCCCGTGAGGGCATCTGAGTCCTGCCAGAGTGCCAGCAAACACAGGACGCCACACAGAAGAGGGTGCCACACAGCTTTCAAATGGACTGAAGAGAAGCTGAGCCAGCACTGAGGGTGAACGACCCCCTTTGGAGTTGGGCAGAGATGCTGACGTACAGTTTGCTTTCACAAGCTTTTACATCTGTCAATAAAAAGTACCATTAATATTTAAGAGGAACGTTCCTGGGTGTTGACTTGGAGTTAAGAGTTAGAAACACACAGCATATGGACTGTGTCTCATCTGTCCCTGAGGCCCACATCTTCCACCTTCCTTCACAGAAAGCAAACCCAACTTGCGTCAAGTTGTGAGTTGGTACACACACACATACCCATATCCACACCCCTGCCTCTTTAGATGCCCATCCTGAACCTCTCCAACCATGCTGTCCCCCCACAGGACCCTGCCTGACTTTCCCTGTCTTCAAAGGTTCCAGCATCCCACCCCCGAGCTTTGCTTGCCCTAGGAACGGACCCAACTCTGGGTCCACCCTTGTCCCTTTCTGGGCTGTCCTTTGCCCACCAATGGGCCACATACACTGAAGGCTGGTGCTGCATGTCCATCTGTTCATTCCCATGTGCAGGCATTGGCTTCCTCCTTACTGAACATAACACACTGGGCTCTTCCAATTCCTGACAGTGGCCACTGCTGTGTGCAGCTGGTAGACGCTGGGTGGCCAGACAAGATCTCCTTCAGAAGTGTAGCCTCAGCTGGCCTGGAGCTCAGAGAGATCCGCCTGCCTCTGCCTCTCCAGGGCTGGGATTAAAGGCGTGTGCCACCGAGCCAGGCTTTTTTTTAAAGTGTTTTATTATTTTTGTGTATGAGTGCATTGCAGGCATGTGTGTACCCACGCTGTGCAATGTCTGCAGAAGTCAGACGAGGGCATCAGATCCCCTGGAACTGGAGTTATGGATGTTTGCTAGTTACCATGTAGGTAACTGGCAATTGAACCCAGGTCCTCTGCAAGAACAGCCAGTGCTCTTAACTGCTGAACCATCTCATCAGCTTGGCATCATCGTTTTTTACAAGGACTAAATGCACACTGAGGAGTGCCTGTGAATCTCATGCAAATCAGGAGCCTTTGAGAGTCACCAGCCTACGGCTACATTAGCTGGACAAAAGTGTATCCTAACAAAACAAAACAAAAACCAGGGCAAGATCGCTCAGTTGGTCAAGGTGCTTGCCACTAAACCTATGCTCTATCCAACCTCAGGACCCACATGGTGGAAGGAAAAAAACTGACTCTTGAAAGTTGTTCTGACTTCTACAGGCATTCTGGGGCAAATAAATAATAAAGTATGTTTTTTGTGTTTTGAGACAGGGTCTCCCTGCAGGCCCAGCTGGCCTGGAACTCGCTATATAAACCAGGCTGGCCTTGAACTCAGAGATCTACCTGCCTCTGCCTCCCAAGTGCTGGGATCAAAGGTGTGTGCCACTAAGCCTGGCTAAAATATATATATATATATATATAATTTTGGTCTTTTTGAGACAAGGTCTCCCTGTAGCCATAGCTGGCCTGGATTCACTAATGGGAGACCAGGCTGGACTCACAGAGATCCACCCACCTCTGCCTCCCGAGTGCTGGGATTAAAGGCGTGCATCACCATGCCTGGCTTAAAAAATATTTTTTTTTAAAAGGCCCAACTAGCATACTTTAAAACTTGGATGGTAATCTTTCTGGCTTCTCTAGAATACAAAACATGTGTCCCAGGGAGCCACAGCGAGCCTGAGCTCAGCCACATGTTCATGGTCTCCATCTTTACCACTGGTGCTGAATATTACCCAAGTGTCTCATCCCTGTCTCTGTCCTGCACTCCTACCCCTACCCCCACCACACTGAGCTGGCTTTGCTCAGGACCTCCTCCCACTCTGTATACATCTCAGCATGCAACCCCAGCACCATGCTAAGATCCCTGAAGAAATGCACCTGAGCTAAGCTACAACACAAACAAGTGGGCGACTTTATTGATTTTAGCTCATGGCAGATCCTTCCGGGGTGGGAGAGGCCTCTGCAGCTTCCAGCAGGGACGTGAGTGCCTGGGGGAGGTCATGGCAAAGTCCAGAGGGTACTTCACCACGGGGCCCAAGGTCACTTTAGTGGATTCTTCTTGTAAATGAATGTGGAAGATTGGGAGTTAACATTCTCAGGCCACCAGCTCGGCTTAAATACTTCTCTGACAAAAATAATAATAATAAATTATCTTCAATTCAGAAAATAAACTGTGTTCAGCAGAGTGACAGGAGGGTCCATTCGTCGCATTGCACCACAGGGCCACCTAGAGGGGAGGAACAGGCAGGACACCAACAGAGGGGTTAAAGGGCCCAGGGCACTGAAGTGAACAGACGAGTGTCATTATCCCGGGCAGGTGGCGGCCCTGACTGTGCCGTTCACAGAAGACAGGCCTCTTTCCTGCTCACGTACGCCTGGTCTTCTGTTTCTTAGCTTGTCTCTTCATGTCCTCTGGACCGCTACTGTCAGAGGCGGCCTGGCCAAGGGTTCGGACTCCCTGTAGCCGACTCGTCAGCTGCATCAACAAGGGAATGAGCTGAAAGAGAGAGAGTGTGAGACACCAGGACACCTCTGCCCACACAGACAGTGACCTCCACCTACTGATGCTCTAGGGACCACAACACATTGACGGTGGGCTTTATACCAGAGGAGGCAGCTGCCTCTCTCTAAGGCATTAGTATCTCCCTATACTCATGCCAGGACTAAGGATTAAGGAAAGATATCACTGAAAGATACAGCCTTGGAAGACCCAGGGACCCCAGGATGTCTTCCTGGTCCCCTACTTAGCAGTCTATAACTTCTGTGACACTGGGCATCCTCCTGTGGTCGACCTCCTAACACCTGCCTTCCTAAGAGGCTGAGGCTTTCCTACCTTGTCATGGTTGTAGCCAGCCAACAGGAGCAGCAGCGTGAGGGGAAGAGCGATGTACGATCCTTGTGCAATGTCTTGCTCAGGTAGCTTCCTCTGTAACAGAGAGTGAGAGTCCTTGTGAGGCCTCACACTTATTATCCACTGTCAGCCATAGCCTCGACTCACTCAGCTGTCCACATTGGTTATTCAAGGCCACCCACAATCCCTCTCACTATCCAAAATGAAACTAAACCAAGGGAGGGTAAACCCACTGGAACTCTCCACTACCCAAACTGCACTGGTGCACACCTTTAATCCCAGTACTTAGGAAGCAGAGGCAGGTAGATCTCTGTGAGATCCAGGCCAGCCTAGTCTACGTAGCAAGGTCCAGGCTACCTGGGGCTACAGAAAGCATGTAAGAGCAGAAAACCAGCGGTAGCTGCAATTCCCCAGCAGGGGATGAGCTGAATACACCACAGTGCTGGGGTACGAAGGTTGTCTACCCAAATTCCTCTGCCAAGACCCACGGCATTGAAACCACTGTGGCATACTAGCAGTGGGTTTAGGTGTACCACTTTTAGAAGATGATTAAATGACGGGGGATAAGCCTTCATGAGTGGGATCAGAGTCCTCAGAAAACAGACCAGAAGTAACTGGCTCACTGCTATCTGCAGTAAGACAGTCTGGAGGCGCCACTTAGAGAACAGAGTGAACCTGGGCAGACACCAAATCTGCCCACTGCATCATGAATTTCCCGGCCTCCAGATCTATGGGAATAGCTGTCTGCAAGTGACCTAGCCCACAGGATTTTCTCAGTAGTTGAATGGCCTGAGACTCATGGTGTCTCCACACAACACAGTACTATGCCACTATGAAAGGTACTGTTGTACAATTATCATTCACGTATATAACTATGCGTTGAGTGTACTGCCTGCATGCATGTAAGTGCACCCATGTTGTGCAATGCTCATAGAGGTTAGAAGAGGGTGTTGGCTATCCTGGAACTGGAGTTATGGATGGCTGTTAGTTGCCATGTAAGTGCTGGGAACTGAACCTAGGTTCCCTACAAGAGCAGCCAGTGTTCTTACCCACTGAGCCATCTCTCCAGCTCCTGTACAATTATCTTTAAGAAGCACAAAAAAAATTCCTACTGTTCCCACAGAAAATAACCAGCAGCCACAAAGTTGGACTTATCTTTTTTTTTAGTATTTTATTTATTATATTTATTTCATGTGTATGAATGTTATGACTTGTCTTTTCTTTAAAAGTTGTTTTTACATTTTTGAGGGACAGCTGGGGGGAGGCAAGGTGTGTAAGCCATGCATATGTGTGGCGGTCAGAGGACAACTTGTGGGAGTGGATTCTCTCATTCTACCTGTGGGTTCCAGGTACTGAACTCAGGTCATCAAACTTGGTGGCAAGCGTCCTTACCCGCTGAGCCAGCCTGACTTTTCCTTTTTAATACAGTTCTGGGGAATACTCTCAGCTCCTGGCATGTTTAGTAGGTGGTCCTGAGCTTGGGCTTGGAGTCCACTCTGTCTTCACTGATGTATGTATTCAGCCAAGGTGACTCCACCCTACATATCCTGAGAACCACTGCACAAAGAAGCAGGCAGATCTCTGTGAGTTCGAGGCCAGCCTGGTCTACATAACAAGTTCCAGGCCAGCTGGGGCTACAGGGAGACCCAAGACCAAAAACAAAAAAGAGAACCATTGCTCTAAAAGATCCCACCAATGCAGAATATAGGCGAGTTTTGTTGGTCTTACAGCTGGACACAGGAAGCAGTGGGACCCCGACTGCTGCTGGCTGACAACCTGAGCTGTTTCTTCCTGCAGGCATCCTGGCCAAACTACTCAGGTTGCACTGATTTGCACAACTGGTGGCATGATCTGTATTGCCTGGAAACTTGTAGTTGGTGCTACAGGTTGGAGCAGGTCATATATCTAGTATGTCCTGATGGAGGGACACACCACCACCAGTCCTGAGGAAATAGTGTCCCTCTTCCCCAAACCCCTGACTACTGATCCTAGCAATTCTACCCTCACGTCTAGTTTCTTCACAGCAGGCATCAGTGTTCAGAAAAGAAAGGCTCTCAGAGGAATCCAGGATGCAAAAGTGACCCAGCCAGGAGTCCTGCAGACAGCCTTCCTCCAGCCCACAACCGGAGCAGGCGTTGGGAAGAAGGTCCCTCTTCTGTTACCATGGAGATTTTAAAACTTCCCCTTACTTACCGTGGGACTGAAAATCAGGGTGATGTGTTTGTGGTAGCCCACTGCAGTGAAAGACACTTGGGGCAGGACGTAGTCGTACTGGGATCTGGGGAGCGTGGAGTCCAGGAGCACAACGTAGTTCTGTGCATGGAAGGAACCATTAGTAGTATGGTGCACAGCTTGGGCAAGCAGGGGCACACAGTAGCCACACAAAGCATTCAATGCTCTGTAAAAAACCCAACTCTCAGTCGGGTGTGGTGGTGTACATCTTTAATGCCAACAGAAGCAGGCATATCTCTGTGAGATTGAGGCCATCCTGGCCTATATAATAAGTTCCAGGCCAGCTGGAGCTGTCAAGAGAGGCCCTGTCTCAAAAAAACAAACAAACAAAAAAAACCCCACCTGATTCTGTATATCCAGCCCATGGTCGATAACTGCTACCCATCAGTGAAAGTCATTCTATGGTTATGGTACTGATAAGACTGTCTGTCGGAGACCTGCAACACCTTTATGAGCATATCCAAGCTGGAAGATTACAGCCCTTAAAGGACCTGACTCCAAGAAACAGACGTTATCACGAGTCAATTCTACTGACAGAGGAATATGGTCAGGCTGAGGGAGACAGCTCCAATCCAAAACTAGCCAAGTGCTAAGGCACTTCAGTGGCTCCTAAACTGGCAAGTTCTAGAAACATAGCCATCTCTAGAATGGTCTCAGTGACAACCACAGCCTGTGTCAGACCCTGGCCCCTGCGTACTGCATGGGGCCCATGCTCTCCCTGATCCTGACCATGGAATGATCAGAGCCATCACCTTCATTTTTACAGATAAAGAGATTAACAATGACAAAAGGCAATATCACGTGGAGATGGGGGAGGGAAGTCTGAATTCTCTGACAACCACTCCACTAGTCTACACAGAATGATCACCATGTAGCAGCCCATGTGCGTAGTGAGGAGGCAGCAGCGGGAATGTCATATCTTAGGCACAGAAGGAACATCCCTGGGGTAAGACCTCCAGGAAAGAACTTTCAAATATTCTGCAAACTCTGCCCCCAACTACTGACTTCACAACAGTTGACTCTGTCCAACAAAACTGATAACATTTTATAGTCAGTAATGGACAACCACAACAGTGGTTGAAAACTACCCAACTCTGAGGCAGAAGCCAGACACCCAGACCCACAAGGCCCAGAGGACACCAGGTGAGGACTTAGAAGCCTACGTGAGACACATAATTGTCAAACACAAAGAACAAGATGCAGCTCAGTACGACAGCACTTGCCTAGCACGTGTGAGGCCCTGAGTTCCATCTGTAGTGACAGAGGGAAGTGAGAGCAGCTGGAGACCCGTCACATGGAAGAGCAAGAGCACCAGCACATTCGACATGGGGCCCTCGATAGACTCGCAGAAATACAAGCAAGACGGGGCTGCAGAGCGCTAAGAGTGAGGATGTCCTGGCTCAGTTAATCACAGTGCTTCCCAACAGAGGAGTGCTATGTAACAGTTAAATACCATATTGTAAGAGACAGGATGATGAGAGCAGGGATAGGAAGATTCTTCATGGAAAAGTACAGACTATAAAACAATGTACAGAACAGTCTCAGCTTTGAATTACCACAAGAACAGTATTTTTAATATTCACACCATATGTGAACTGAAAAAAGACCCAGAGGAAACCAATCAAATGTGCTCCTATCATTATTTCTGGACACTGGGATTATGTCTGGTTTTTTTTCTCCAAAATTTCCTGCTACGAACATGCATTATATTTGTAAATAGAAAAAGAATTAGGAAAGAGCAATCCTGGCAGAAGCCACCCTCCTTTGGTTCAGAAGAGCACATCTAAGAACTGTTTCCTTACACTAAGAAGCGAGCACCTAGGTAGAGGGCACCCAGCCCAGGCATTACCTCGCCATCACGGAGCAGTGGTGGGAAATGGAAGAAGAGCGACTGGCCCAGTGAGACTGTCTGGATCGGGTTGTCAAGATTCTCACTTTTGTACAACTTCACCTGCAGAGCAAAGGGGAGAGCCGAGCTTTGACATTCAGTGACATCACTTCACACAGCCTGCACAGTCTCTCTGGGACTGCAAGGGTAGAAATGCAGCTGAGGTAAAGCTGTTCCCCACAGGCCGCAGGATACAGTCCTTAGTCCTGAGACTGTAGGTGAGACATGAAGAAATGGAAAGTTCTAGCAAATTCTGATGACCTACAAAATTGCTCAAGACAATCATAAAAGCTATTATGGCAAAGAATAAAAAGAATGGTTTCCTTGTACCAGGTGTACAATGGGTACTTTAAAAAAAATATTTTACATGTATTGCCTGCATATGTATAACTGTACCCATGTTGTGTAATGTCCTTGGAGATCAGAAGAGGTGTCAGATCCCCTAGAACTGGTGTTTCAGGTTATTAGCCACAATGTGGGTGCTAGGAATTGAACCCGGGTCCTCTGAATCTCTCCAGCCCTGTACAATGGGTACTTTATAAACACTGTCACCAATCCTGACAGAATGCCATCCCTCTGCAGAGATCCTGAGAGCCTAAGTCACCTAGGGTCACAAAGCCTTTCTGTGGGAGTGTCTTGCCTGCCTTGTCATATCATGTCACCTTAATCCTGCAAGGACCTGAACTCAAAGCACACCACTCGGCTTCTGGTTCTCTTTCAATCTGCAGGTCAAGTGGTCTTTACCACCACAGTTGCCGGGGCAGGACAGAGTCCCAGTTACCGCCCACAGCAAAGACGATGAGGGCTCCACTCTCACCTGTCTCCTGGTACCACCACTTTCCTCTAGAACACTTGTTTTCCTAAAACAAAAGCAGGCCTGAGGATCCCACCCAAGCCATGTCTGCGCTCTCCTGCTCTGTACAGCATTTTGTGTATATTTTAATCCATTAGTTATACGTAAAACTAGATGATTTTAATTGACTATAATTTCTAGCTATTTCTAGAAAACTGAAGGGATTTGAACCCTGCGCTAGAATTCTAACATGAGAATAAGCAGGGGCACCCCTGCATGGCTCCTTCTGAGGGTGGCTATTCTGTTCACCCTCTGCCTGCATTCCTGACAATTCCTGTACACCCCACAGATACTTCCCACACAGCCCCAGCTGAGGGTACTGGGAGACCAGCTAGAAGTCAAGCATGTCCTTGCCAGACTAAATCCTTCACTGCATTCTGAGTGCTCTCACAAGACCCCTGTGACAAACACCAACTTCTCCTAGAGGTCACAGGACTTTTAAAGGAGAGAACCAAGGTGCATGGGGAGGAGGCTGACAAGCAACGCCCCCAACCCAGACTCGGGGATATGCCCCCAATACTCGACAACTGGCTCCAAACCCAGGTGTGACAGGTGCTCCTGCCTGAAGTAGGCAGCTGTCTGGGTACAAACACCCTCTCCCACTGAGGCCAGGAAGGGCATGGTGGCAGCTGGGGGTGGAGGTGAAGGGGTACATGACATACTCTACTCTACATTCAAAGGGGTTGGTCTTACCCATAAGGTAGAAAGATACTCAGAGGAGGTGATCACATTTCCACTTAAATCAAACTGGTTGATCTGCCGAAAAACTATGATGTTTATGTCATCAACATCATTGTTCCCCACCTGGAAAGACAGAAGGGCAGCACACTGGAGGGTCTACCTTCCAGCAAATCACTTCCTAGAGTGAGGAAGCAGGTCTTCAAAACAGGGCAAGTCCAAGGTCACACAGACGGCACTGCTACACCTGGCCCGTAGACACATAGCACTATGCAAGCATGGTAGTGATTTTCAAACTTTTAATTACCTGCCAACATATTTTAAAGGCAGTCTGGCAGTCATAGCAGGGCAGTGCCCCAGCTGGCCCCCTGGGTACAATGTGGAGACCCCAAAGGCTTCATTTCTCTTTCACACCTGCCTGACCACAGTCCACATCACTACCTGTGATTCTGGCCTAAATCACCAGAGCAGGAAAAATAAAATAATGAAGCACTTTGGTGTGAGCAGTAGCCATGGAGCAGTTTTAAAATGGCAGAGGCCATAAATCTACTTCCCAGGTCAAAAAGTCCTAAAGGGCCTGCCATCTCCTCCAAAGCCCCCACTCTGCTTGAATAACGCCTTCCAGAGGCAGCTCCTGTGCCACAGCCCTCTAGTCCAGCCAGGACAGAAGAGCATCATTTCAATGACGTCTGGGCCACTTCCTGTGATTGCTGTAACCTGGTCAAAAGCCATGGCTGTGGAGGTCACAGGCCCTTAGAGGGGACATCTTTATCAACCCAACCACCTCCCCATCCCAAAATGAAGGTTCAGAGAACACTGGGGAAGAGAGGGTGGAAAGAATGTAAGAGCTAGAGGATGGGGAAGAGTGCTGTGAAATTCTGTCTTGTGGACATGACGTGGCACTGATGAACTCACAGCAACTGTCATTAGCAGCACAAGAACAAGCCAGACAAATTTTAGCCTAGGTGTCCCTGAGGGCTACTGGCAGTGGATGGCTCTCAGGGGAGGGTCATTTTTCTTTAGGGTATGGTCAATCATGGGGTGCCTATGCTCCAATGGTTGGCCCACAGGTATGTGTATATGAGTAGCACTAGCTGGACTCAGTGAATTATTAAAAAAATAAGTTAGAAGTGGTGGCACACACCTTTGATCACAGCACTCAGGAAGCAGAGACAGGTGGATCTCTGTGAGATCAGGGTTAGTTGGGGCTACAGAGAGACTCTGTCTCAAAAATAAATAAATAAGGGCTGGAGAGATGGCTCAGTGGTTAAGAACACTGGCTGTTCTTGCAGAAGACCCAGGTTCG